AAAAATCTATATATATATTTGGGCAGAAACTGAACATGTGCTGGATGATGGTGGGATTTTTTTAATATGTCATATTAAATTAAGCGCTCACAGGGTTCATACAGGAATGAGTGACTCTAATTTAATGCTATTTTAATGCTATTAGAAATGATTTTAATGCCATCAACAAGAACCATGTACACAAGTTATTAGTGTACATGAAATATGAAGGAGCTGTAAGCAGAGTTCCATGACTCCTGTATGTATGTAAACACACACACACACATATATACGTATATATATATATCCTCTAGCTTTTTCTCCGCCTGGAGCGATATAATATATCTGACGAAATTGTTTTTATAAGCATTTTTTATTAAATAATTATATTTACTTCGATAAACATATTTAAATAATTTTAGTGCCAATTAAGGCCTTGATTTAAAAAAAAAATGAATGATTTTTTAATTATTTTTATTGATCCGCGGAAACCCTGGTTCATCTCGCGCATGCTCTCTACGATCTCCAAGAAACTCAGAGCGGCACTGTTCAGAATACGAAACATGGGGCTGATAGTTACATTTGTGTGGGTTCCAGCACATATTGGGGTAGAAGGAAACGAGAGGGCAGATAAAATGGCAAAAAGGGCAATTAAACATTCTATTAGTTTTATAGTTAAAATAAGTAAATCAGAAGGAAAGAGTATTATTAAAGAGAAACTTATGGAAATTTTTTTTTTTCTTTTTTTTTTTTTTTTTTTTTTCTTTACAGTGTCCTGTCTGGCAAGGTGGCAATAAGAATAATTGTCTTGATGCCAAAAGGAGCCCAACAGATTTTACTTTCACAAGTGTAGCGGTATGGCAATTGCCATACTGCTCCACTTGTTACATGTATATAAATTGCTTTATTATAATTATGCAGGGAGTTTTACAGTTCATATGGACACTGCAATGTAAGTAGAGCAGAAAAACAGAAGAAGAAGAAGGAAAAAGAAAAAGAAAAAAACAGGACAAAAGATGAAAGAAAGAGGAGATAGGAAGGAGACAATGACAAAACATTTTCAGTCTGCTTCAACACCTGTAATGAGATGGAAAAAAAAAAAAAAAAAAAAAAAAGAACAGCACAACCAAAAAACATGGTACGAGATATACAATAAAGCAAACACCTTGAAACTATCGCTAACGTAATATTATTAAGTCTGACATGTACTCTGTGTTACCTGAAGATATGAATGTGGGGTTTCTGTTTGGAAGTGAATCTCTAAGTACCTGAAGCCTAGCACCTGTAGTTGTTAATGAGGGTGAACTTGTGCATGTAAAGTTTTAACCATAGAAAAAATGCTCAATAGTGGTTGTGGAGAGCCGGAGAGGCACACCCCCCAGAGCACTGAGTCCAGCGCCGGGAGACCCAAAGCCCCAGGCGCCCAAGGGGACCCCAGAAGCGAAGGCACCAAGGCGGGGCCAGCCCCGGAAACCAGACCCCACCAAGGCAGGAGGAGAGACAGCCACGAAGAAGCCCCCCAGCCACCGCCATGCCGGCGCCCCGGGGAGCCGCGGGGACGAGTCCGCGGGCGCCGCCGGCAGCCGGCCACCCCGAAGTAGGGCCGGGCACCGAACACCAGCCCCCCCACGGCGCCGACCGAAACGCCCCAGCCCCAGCCCCACAGAGCACCGAAACACGCCCCGCCCCCCAGCACCAAGCCCCGGCGACCGGCCGCAACACCCACCGCGACCGCACCACCCAGGAAAACACTCAGGTGGCCCCGCCCCCGGCCGGGGCCCATGCGCATCCGCCGCGAACCGGCCGCGAGCGCCGCGGGACCCCCCCAAAACGCCCCCCCGGCCAAAAGCGCAGCCCCACCCCACCAAGACCGATGCCAACAGCGCGCAACGAAACACACCGCGCACAGAATCAGCCCGAGAGCAGAAAAGCCGCCCGGCGCAAAACCGCAAGAAGAGCAGACCGCAGCCGGCGCAACCACCCCCCCCCAGCAGCCCGAGGGGCAGCACAAAGCCAGAGCGGAGCGAACCGCGCCGCCCCCCCCACCGGACGAAGCCAAAGCAGCCCAGCCACGTCCGCCGCCCCCCCCGCCGCCCGCACCAGGCCCTGACACGCGGCCAGAGCAGCTCCGCCGCCCCGGCCCCCCACCACGCGCCGGCCATAGCCACTCCAGGCCCCCACCCGCCCCGCAGCCCCACCCGCCGCGATCAGCGGGAACAGAGCAGCCCCGCCATGCCTCCAGGAGGGAAAACCCACCCGAATACCTAGCCAGCGCAGCCAGCCCGCCCAGACCGGCCCCCCCAACACTACCCCCGCCGGAGCCGCCCGGACCCCCACACACCAGCGGCGCGCCGCCAGCAGGACCCCCACCCAGCAGGCCCGCCCGCCCCCCGAGAAAACAGACATGCCAAACCCCCCAAAGGAAGAAGAAAAAAAAAAAACAATGCCCCCACAATGCGACAGCGGACACCAGACACCGACCCGCCCGCAACCGCTCCCCCCCACCGAGGAAGAGAAAAAAAAACATAAATAAATAGGTAAATTAATTAATTAATTAATAATTACAATTAAAATAAATAGGCAAGAGGAGAAGTGCGAGCGGAAAAACCGGAGCCCAAAACAGGACCCAAGACCCGCACCCCACCATGCCGTGCAGCTCCCCCCCCCCCGAACCGGTACCACAGAACCGGCATAGGAAAGAAACACCGCCCAGGAACCGGCATCGTAGCGAAGGCACCGGCACCCGAAAATCCCCGAACAACACCCAGCCCCACCCCGAAGCGGATCCAGTCCCAGGCCCCAGGGATCCGAGGCCCCAAGGGCACCCGATCCCCAGACAGGAGCCCCAGCAAAGCCCCGGCCGGCCGGAGCCAGCGGAGAGGCCGCCAGGAATGAGCCAGCAGTCCCCCGGGCATCCACCCCCAGCTCCACCAGTGCACCGGTGAGCCCCGACGCCAGCCAGCGGAGGGAGAGCAGGACGGGGGGAATGGGCTCCGCACTTAGCGGAGACTTGAGATGTATTTGGGAGAGGGTGCGGTTGAGACCCCAACCTGGGAGAAAAAAAAAAAAAAAAAACACACCATCTCAATCATGCCTTCCCTCCCTAGTGCCCCCACTCGTACCACAGGAAAAAAAAAAAAAAAAAAAAAATTTGAATAAAATAATAATAATAATAAATAAAGAAAATAACAACGCGGACACACATTCACACATAACACTCACATCCAATAATACCAGGACCAAAAACCCGGTGACACCGGTGGTCGGTCCCGGGACTATCGGATGACCCCATAAGTGAACCTAAAATCCGGATGTGAGGGGAGGGGAGCGGCGGCACCGCCACACCAACCCATCTCTTTCCTGCTTCAAGCCCGGCCCCCCACCCCGCACACGGACCGGACCACCCCCAGCAAGAGCCCCCCCCGGGACCGGGGCCCACCCATCCCGCGCCGGCCACCCAACCAGAACCGCCCCCCCCCCCCCGAACAGAAAAAAAAAAAAAAAAAAAAAAAAAAAAAAAAAAAAACCTTCAACCAGGCACTTCATGCCCCTCCATCCAACCTTCTTTGGGGAGAGCAGAGGTGACAGCCCCGCCACCAGCAGGCCACCTAGGCCCCGCAGCCAGCCCCAGCCAAAACCACGGACCAGGCGGCCCGCTCTTCCTCCAGGCCCCAGACTCCAGGCGGCAGCCGGAGAACAGGGGTGTGAGAAGACCCCGATCCTCCCTGCGCCCGCTCGGATGTGGTGTTGTTGCGTGTTGCTCTCAGATGCAATTAAAACTGGGAGTACCAAGAGGGGGTGTCCGGCACACTCCACCCCCCCTCCAGGAGATAGACGGTGCCAGCACACCCCCCCCTTCGACAACCCTCAACCCTCAATGTCTAGATGCGAGAGGGGATGGAGGAGGCCGACCGTGGTGAGGCCCATAAAATAAGCCCCCCCCCCCCCCCCCTGTGGCCCTGACCCCCACCCCCCGAAAATGCCCTACATAGATGTGTGTTGTGAAAATTATGTATATGGAAGTGTCTAAAATGCAAAATAAAATTGGTGTGGGGGACGTCATCAGAAGGTGTGGCCCTCCAGTAACGACCCCCTCCCCAAAAACCTACATGTGTGGCAGAGTGATGGAGCAGGCAGAGGGAGGATTTCGGGGATGGGGAGCAAAGGACTGGGGTGCTTGCTGCACTCCCAGGGAGCCAGCTCCCCCGCTGACTCCAATAGGCACCCCCGTTCCCCGAGAGCCCCCCCAGAGAAGGGGGCCCCACCAGTTTCACCACCATAGCCCGGGGGCACGGGACCGGCAGCAGGACCCACCAGCCAGCCGGGCACGGAGCCGACACCACCACCACCCCCCCATCCTGTCCATCCAAAAAAAAAAATAAAAAAAATAATAAAAAAAAAATAAATAAATAAGTAGATAAATAAATAATAAAAAAAAAATAATAAAAAAAAATAAATAAATAAATTAAATTAATAAAAAAATATAAAAGGAAGATAAGAAAAAAAAAAATAATAATAATAAATAAATAAATGAATAAGGGGGGGGACAACCCCAGCCGGCCAGCCAACGCACAACACGCAGAGCCCCCACCCCGGACGAAGCCCCACCAGGGGGCAGCACGGACCAGGACCAAGACAGGGAGCCAGACCCGAAGCCCTTCAAAGATCTCCTTCCCTCTATCACCACCCCCCCCCCCCCCCCTCCGGAGATGTAATCCCTCCCCTACAATAACAATCAAGCTACTCACCACACAAGCGACAGAAGACATCCAGGCCGAGATCATACCTACTCCCCCTCCCTCCCCTTCCCCGACTTACAGAGTGCAAACCCGTGAGGGGGTAAGCACTTGCCATAGGTGTTAATGTCCATGCCCCCCCCCCCAGCCCAGCAGGCCCCGAGGCACCCCGGCACACCAGAGGCCGTGGCAGCAGGGACAGACAGCCGGGCGTACACCGGCCCAGAACCCAAGCAGCACTCCCCACAGAACCCGAACCCCCACCGGGGACCCCGCCCAAGGGCAATGCGCCCCAGGGATCCCAGACCCCAGGACCCACCCCAGACCCACCCCGCAGTAGGGCCGGGCAATGCCCAAAAACCCCCTGGCGCCGGCGCCAGCGCCCCCACCCTGACCCCGGCCCCCGAACGACTCCCCCCAACACCGGTCCCACAGCACCAATCCGAAGAAGAAGAAAGCCACACAACACAGCAAAGTGGAAATCCCGAGCCCCACTCCAAGCCCCGATCCCCCCGCCCACACACCCCCTCCCACACAAAAAAAAAAAAAAAAATTATAATATTCTCCCCCTCACTGGAGAAGAACGGCCGCAAACAAGCCAGTGCCCAACACCCACCGCCACACCACGAGGACCCCTCCACCCAGATGCTCCTCCCCAGAAAAGTCAACATGCCTGCCCTCCCAGGAGACAGGCAAGCCCGCCGAACAGGAATCCCCCCGGCAGCGCACCGCCGGGATGCGGGGGCCCGAGCAGCCCCAACAGAAACAACACCGGAAGGCCGACACGGACGCACCGACGGCACCAACCTAGCCCCCAGGCGGACTCCCCCACCCAAAAACACAACGAAACCACCCCGCCCCCACCGACCACAGCAAACACAGCCGCAAGGCAAAGCAAAGGACAGAGCAGCCCCACCCGGCGCACGCCAGAGAGCCAGAGCAGCAAGGCCGCCCCAGCCGCCAGAAGCCGGCACAAGCAGCAAAAAGAAAGCAGCAGACGCGACCCCACCACTCCCGCCGCGCCCGGCGCGAAAGCAGCACGACCCACCCCGCTCCGGCCCCGCACCGCCCACAGGCCGCCAAGAGGAGGACGGCCACGCCGGCCACGGCCCAACCCCCCCCCGCCGCCAAACACCGAGCAACCCTCCACTCCCAAACCGCGCACGATGCACCGCACCACGCGCCACCGGCACCCGCCCCAACAGAGCGAAGCCACAACCCGACCCGGGGGCGCTCCAAAGGGACCCTCGACGCCCGCAACCAGCCCACAACAGACACACACGAACCCCGGCCACAGGCGCGACCACCCACGCCCCCCCCGGACGACGCAACCACGGCAAGCGCCACGGCCAACCACCGAAACCCGGCACCGGAAGACGGGGCACACCCCGACGCCCCCGCAGAGCAGAAGCACCCCGGCCAGCACCACAAAAGAACCGATGCCCGGCGCCCAGCCCCACCCAGCAGCAGCACAGCAACCAGGCCAGTAGCCCACGTCCGCCACCACGGAACCCCCGAAGAGCACCGCACGCGGCCGCCGCAGGACCCCCCCGCGGCGCCCCAGACCCCGCCCCGACGGGGGCAACAGTCCCCCGGGCCAGACCCGCCAGGCACCCCGCTCCGAGCACCCCCCCGAGCCCCCAGGACCCAAGGACCCCCGAACTAGCCCCCGCGCCCCACAAGACGCACCCCATAGCCCCCCACTACACTAAGTGATGGAGCCGATCAAGGGAGCCCAGAGAGATCGGTCTGATGGGGATGCAGATGCTGTCTCAAGATTAATATGATCCAACAACAGATCTCTGTACTGATTGATGTTGAGTTTATCCTTACTTTTCCAATTCATGAGGATAGTTTTCTTTGCGATACATAATGCAGTGAATGCCAAGCAAACCGATTTTTTTCCCATAGAGCTTCCCTCAAAGTCACCCAGCAAGCAACCTGAAGGGGAAATTGGGATTTTACAACCCAGGCACAGTGATAGATCCTTACATACCTGTACCCAGAATCTCTGAACCGGCGTGCATAACCATAACGCGTGAAAATAATTATCAAGTTGATTGCCTGTGCACTGTGGACAGATGTTAGATTGCGCAAAACCCATCCTGAATAATCTTTGACCTGTATAGTGCACTCTGTGGAGGATTTTGTATTGTATTAATTGTAAATTGGGGTTTCTGGTCATGTTAAAAGTGTTTAGACATATCTGAGCCCAGATGTTTTGTTCAAAGCTGACTGATAAATCCTCCTCCCATTTAGTAATAGGAAGAGATATTGTATCATCCAGTTTAGTCAGTGTCCTGTATAACTTAGACAGTAGTTTGGGGGGGGTTAACTCTAGAAACTCTGATATTTTAGTTGGAATTATTAAACCTCCATCAATATGCTTAAATTTATTTCTAATTATAGCTTTGATTTGCTCATATTCTAAGAATTTATTTTTGTTAATGCCATATTGCAAGTTTAATCTAGCGAATGTGATAAACTCCGTACCTTCAAACAAATGATCCAGATATGGAAACTTATGGAAATTTGGCAAAAAAGGTGGGATGAAGATAAAACAGGAAGATGGTTTTATAAAATTCAGAAGATGGTAGGAGAAAGAAGAAATGGAAGAAGAAATAGAAAGGAGGAAAGAGTGATAACAAGGTTGGTTAAGATTTGGTCATACAGGACTTAATCATACACTTTTTAAAATACAAAAACATAAAACGGGCAAATGTGATTTCTGTGATAAATATGAAACCATAGAACATGTTAAATTAGAATGTCATAAATATGAAAAAGAGAGAAGATATATGAGAAGAGAGTTTGAAGACATTAAGGAGAAGGTTAATTTATTAGATATACTGAGGAAAAATTTAGGGAGTAAACACATACAAATAATTATTCGATTTCTAAAGAAAACGAAATTATTCCATAGAATTTAATTATAGTAAGTGTGTTTGTGAGTAAAGGAAAGATATACAAAGCTCTGCACAAATATATATATATTTTTAAGTGTGAATGTGTGAATGTATGTTTAAAAGAAGTTAGGGTACAATGTATCAGGATAGATATTTAAACCATCACGAACCACACTCCATACCAGTAAGTGGCGGTAATGCTACTAACAGTTTGTTGCCAACCGCCATAAAACTCGACAAGAAGAAGAATAAGAAGTAACTCAGAGCAGCGCGGTCTGCAGCCACAGTGGAGGATGTATGCTTTGCTTTGTGCAGGCGGTCTGGAGCGGAGTATGTGGGATTTCGGGGTAAAACTCCTCTTGGTCGCGATGGCGACTCTGCATCGAACAAGACGAACTCAAAGAAGAGATGCTAGCGGTAAATATATGTTCGATTACTGCCTGCTGAGCTAAAAGCAGCCTAGCCTAAGCTACGGCTAATAGCAGCCTAGCCTACAGCTACGGCTAATAGCAGCCTAGCCTAAAGCTACAGCTAATAGCAGCCTAGCCTAAAGCTACGGCTTATAGTAGCCTTGCAAGAACAAGCTTTATTAAAGTGTATTTTTTGTGATTCACAGGAAGCAGTACGCCGTCTTCACAACTCGGAGACTAATTGCAGGTGCTATGAACCGGAGCAAGGGTAAGATTTAAAGAATATGCTTTCATTCTGCGGTAAAAGGCAATGGATACGGATAGATACCGATCATAGCTTTACATTTTGTTTTCACAGACCTCCTATTTGCTCGGAGCCATATCAGCAAGTCCAGATTTGCACGATGTTGATAAAGACGACATTGTGTGTAAGTGACTTGTTTTAATGTTTTCTCCTTCCTTGTTACTGTGACTTGCGTTTGATTTTTTATTCATACCACTCTCATTTAGTTGTTTTCCAGCTGCCTGTAAGACGTATTTTCAGACGGTACACAGGAGCTTCAGATATACGCAGCCAGCCAACACGTTGCGTGCGGAGCATGCCAAGCAATCTGCTCGGAGTCGGGCCAGAAGAAAGAGGGTAAAACTTTATTTGGTGACTATTTTTCAGGTGCATTGATAGATGTGTTGTGTCCATACGCAGTGCGCTGATTCATTGTTTTTTTTTCCACCTGTTGAAAGCGAGGCAGAGTGTGCTAGCAGATGAGGAAGTGGAACTCTGGAAGTCCGCCACCGTCGGCCTCATTTCCGACGAAGAAGATGGCGTCGTTGGCGGTGTCTCTGGATGGATTGTACGGTCGCCGCCATTTCGTAGGCCGGATCTCACTGAACTCTGTGTTAAGCTGCAGTCCCGGTTAGAAGCGATGCCGAAGTACAGGGCCACGCACAGTAGGCGTCTGCACATCGGACCTGCCTCGGAGGGAATGCTGCCAGTTACCTCCAACCCCGAGGAAGCAAACGGACCGTTCACGGAGTTGTAATTTTTAGATACGCATGTGTTTGGATACGCGTTTTATATAGTTGTGTGTGTTTTAATAAAGCTCTTTCTTTGCATAAACAGCTTCCTGGCAAATGTTCATTTCCTGTATAAATTCATTCATGTCCTTGATTGTAGCCCAATAATTGTGTAGTAGTGTAGGATAACATAAATACACAGCATATAAATGAATAAATATATGAATGAATAAATATATATTCATAAATATACATATATGTAAATTTATATGTAAATATATATATATGCCAACCAATCACGAGCGACTTTACTTGTTTAAAAAGAAGTGGTTCCGTCCAATACTCAGTAAGAAAATTAACGCCTGGCGTGGCCACGTGTGGTTTTGCTGCCAATCACGAGCGATTTCACTTGTTTGAGAATAGTGGTTTCAGCCAATACTGAGTAGGTTATACAAGCCAGACCTGGCCAGCCGCGCGGGTTTGCTGCATTCATATGCTAATTAGGGCCATTAGTACAGCTGATCGCTCTCCACATACGTCAGAGTCCGTTTCCGACAATTTGTGGCACGACAAACGCGGACAAGCGCAGGTTGCAAATTGTCGGAAACTGACGAAAATCAGGGAGATCTGCGGGAGTTTACGGGGGTTTACGGGGACGAAAATCTCACTTTTCATGCAGTGATTGGTATTATCAAAATGTTTTGCGGCCATATCCAGGATTTTTGAGTTAAAAAAACTTTACCCCAAAATCTTAAAGGGTCAAAACGAATGTGCAAAAGGAAAGATCTTGATTAAAAAAACACTCTGTTGTAGTTATTAAGGTTTAATTCCCTGCATCTTACTAAACTGATTTGTAGTAGCAGTAGCAAATAGCCTGATAATGCTTCCACTGAGTGTTCATGTGTTTTGGTGCAAAAAAAAAGCCCTATGGACTATTCCCTTAGTTACCACACTCTCAAACAGCTTTATGGAAATAGATCAAAGAGACAGAAAAAAAATAAAAGCATCTGAACTTGAGATACTCCCCTTACAGCTTTACACATGGTAAACATGCTTTCTGGTTTTTTTTTTTTGGTTCCCATCTAACTAAAGTGATGACTATGGGCTCTGGTTCTTCTAATGCTGCTCTGTGAGTAGAGAAACTTGCATCTAACTTTCACCACTGAAATCCAGGCATAATATTGTTTACCTTAAACTACTTGCAGCCCCATGGCAAAAAAAAAAAAAGCTCACTTTGTTTCACAAGCCTATGGACACACAGAAGTCTAGCTAATTTAAAAGAAGGAAAGAATAATAAAATGTGATATGATTTTGGGGCTGCTCAGTGGAACAGTGGGTAGCACTGACAGAAAATGGATTTATGGATATCATTATGTCTCATAGATATCAAAAAAAGGGCAATAGTTTGTATTGCCATGATTCTGTCCTGTCAGGTAGTAGTTGTTGTTCCCTTTACTCTATTCTCCTGGCTTTGATTGCTCATAGCTGTGCAGTGCTCATTCTTTCCGCCTTTATTCGCCCCTTCTTAAGCAAGCAGCAAACTAGTTGACAGTGCCAGATTACTGAAAGCCCTTAGTTAGCACATGTCCCGCAATCCCTCTCTGCCTGATTGCCTGTTTCTGTCATTGTTTCAGCCCCACATCCTTCATGCCATTGCCTAAACCTCATTGAGCTTCCTGATTTGTGGATCTACCATGTTTTTGTCTCCTTACCAGTTCCTTTGAGCTTTAGTCTAAACATGACAAAAATAAATAAAAATTAGGCCTAAAGATCTCCACATTGAAACACAAATGACAACAAAATAAGCCAGACTTAGCCAATTAGGTGTGACTTACAAACTCAAGGCAAGACAAGGCAAGGCAAATTTATTTGTATAGCACAATTCAGTACAAAGACAATGCAAAGTGCTTTACATGATTAAAATACAGGAAGATAAAACAGAATCAAAGCAAGCAGGAAAAAATTAAAAAACAAATAAAATAAAATAAAAAATGCAGAAACAAAAAAAGAATATTAAAAACAGTTGGATTAAAGAAAACATGTTTTTGTTGAACTGTTTAACTAGAATAGTCGAAGGCAATCCTAAACAAATGTGTTTTTAGTCTTGATTTAAAGGAACTCAGGCTTTCCGCACTTTTACAGTTTTCTGGAAGTTTGTTCCAGATAAGTGGAGCATAGGAACTAAATGCTGCTTCTCCATGTTTAGTTCTGGTTCTAAGTATGCAGAGCAGGCTGGAGCCAGAAGACCTGAGAGGTCTGGAGGGTTGATACACTGATAGCAAGTCTGTGATGTATTTAGGTGCTAAGCCATTCAGAGATTTATAGACTAACAGAAGTATTTTAAAGTCTATTCTCTGAGATACAGGGAGCCAGTGTAAGGAC